GAAAACAAAGGGTTGGAGGCATTCAGCAATGAGGAGCATTTTCCCTGGTTATCCTACCCACTTCATCACTTTGTCTGCAGAAGAACAGAAGATCAAGCAGGCAGAAATTGTGCACATCAGACTCCTGGCGTAACATTATGCAGATTTTGAGGCAGGAAAGTGTCTGCCTCATGCAATGACTAAGAATTCCCCTTAAAGGTGTAGAAAAGACAATGTAACGCTTTTCATGACTGGTTATCTGGGTGAGCAAACAACTTAATCCCACTGAGTTTGTTGTTTTCCATCTTTTAAGAAGAAGATAATAGATACTCTCCCTATCTTCCTAATTTTGTTGTAAAGCTGAAACTTCGTGTGTGTATAACATAGCACACATATAATATATATTATATATAAAAGTGTTTTGGAAAAGGAGGAAGTATTATAAAAGTTTTGGTAATTTTAGATATAAAAGCAGACTTTTAAAGTTCTATTATATGAAGAGAGAGGCAAGAATTATAAATTCTTCAAACTTTCATTATGTGTTTATTTAGAAAAATTGCCCTGTTTTTATTTATTTACACAAAAGAATAATAAGGACAGCTACCATTTAATAGAGCCCTGGCAGTGCAAAGTATTCCACACGCATTACCTCATTTAATTCCCTCAATAACTGTTACTGATAAACAACTCAAAGCTGGGACGAGGGTGAGGCAAAGGAGGCATTTATTTGAGGTACAAAATTTAACAGGGCACCAAAAAACTCAGCTATTAAATAAATAACATTCTAATATTGTATTTAAAAATCAAAAGTAATCCAAATAAATCTACAATAAACAAAATATCCACATTTTAACTAAAGACAGGGCAGTTATCTTGTGTAACCTTGAGTAAATAACTTCTTTGTGCCTCTGCTTCTTTATTTAAAATGGGATAATAATAGTAGTACCTGCTCCTTAGGGTCGTAGTGAGGACCTAATGATTTAATGTAAGTGATTAGAACAATGCCTGGCATATTTTAAATGCTTGAAACATGTTGGTTAAAATCATCTAGTATTGTCTTTACTGGTTCTGCAAGTTTAAATATAAGAAAACTGAGGCTCAAACGGTTTAAAAAGCTCGACCAAGTTTACAAAGCCAGTTGCAGGATTCACACTCAGAAAGTTTTCCTCCAGAGCCCTTTTCTTAATCACTCCACTATACTGTTTCTCACGGGGATGTTAAGAAATCTGTATGTTCACAGAGCACATTAAGTGTGAATATGTGTGCACCTCACTGGTAGATCATACAATGAAAGCTTTTTAAAAATCTCTTGAAATGCTACCAAGTGTTAGTGTATTGACTTAGATGAGTTTTATTAGATTGGCATTGCTTAGCAAAGGAGCACAAAAGAAACGGAAGAAATACCCTACAGTCAGAGTGTGAGATTAAGAGAGCAGGGCCTTCACTTCGCCCAAGAGGTTAAGACAGATTATATAACCAGTCCCTTTAGATAAGAGGGCAATCCATCTTCTTGAGGAGATATATCAATGGTTAGGATTCAGTTAAGATATATCAATGGTTAAAATTTAGTTTTTAAACTTGTTCAACTTGTTCATTTGAATGTAGCTATAGATTTTTTTTTTCTTAATGAGAATAAACAGAGCTATCTGTTAACAGGGTAAGTGGGAAACAGCACATGTGGTTTTATACAATTGTATCCACAATAGGCAGTGCAAGGCACAGAACAAAAAAGCACTCTTATTTATAGAGCTTCTGACTTCAATTACACCTCTTGGTAAAGCAAGCAAAGAATTATTTATACAGGTTTCTAGGTTGGTCACAATAACGCTTTTTAAGAATGATGCTTAGTTGTTTAAACATGTGACTCAGTATTCTCTAACCTTCCTGAATCTGTTATTTCCTCTTAACTGTTGTCTGTCATTCATGTTTTGGAAGACAATTTAATTTCCTTTGTGAATGAATAGGGGCAAATTAAAGGATGTATTTCTATGTGTTTCTTTTGAATATTTTCCTCACTGACTACTGGGGTGATATAAACTGCAAAACCTGTAGTCAGAAGTGTAATCCTATGTAGTGAAGCTATATAAGAGCAAGCAGTTCCTCAGAGTCAAGCAGTTCAGCAAGAGACATACACACATGTGCACACACACACACACACAGATGCACAACAGTGATGAAACATGCATGAATAGATTTCTATAATAATCAACAAGAGGACATCTTTTTACAAAATGCTGAAATTTGCATGATGATTTTTTCACAACGTGTGTATATTTCACAATTTCACAACATATTTATAAGCAATTGGTTCAACTAATAGAAAACATGCCATTTACTTCCCTTATCTTTGGGATCTGGCACTAACTCTGCACCTTACTGTTTCTGTACCCCATTTTCTTACCTAAAAAGAGGTTAATATGACTCATCTCATAAACTTGTTGTGAAGAATGAATAAGACAAAGCGTGTAGAGTCTTAAGAAGAAGATGTGGCATTTAGTAACTGATCAAATATGTCACCTCTCTCAATATCATTATTACCTTAGAAAAAACCTTGAAACTTGCCAAAGTAATCGCATCACCTTTAACAATGAGTGCGGAAATGTACCTTCTTGGTTTCAGAGATCCTTATTTCATCCAGGTTTCTAAGGCATCCATTACATCGTAGTAAAAGAGCTAACACTCCTTTTTCCTTGCTATTTGTCAACAGCTGCTATGACCTTAATTATCTGTAGAAGGCCTTTAGAATAAGATTTTTGACAATATGCACTACAAGTAAAATTATTCTATAATTATATTCTGTTGTAGTGATTATTGACCATCTTGTTTCTTGCCTTGTCATAAAAAGAAAAAATACAGGTATCATTAAAGTATGTCCACTGAGATAGCGAAGGCTCTATTTCCTGTTTCCTATTCCATTAGTGCCCAAATGACTGCCCTCTTTAGAGCTGCTCTGTAAGCTCCCTGACATACAACAGCACAGCTGGGCCTTGCCTTCCTACAACATATAGGATAACATGAAACAGGTCAGTATGTGTAGAGAATGCATGGTGCATATTGAATTTGAAGAGCAAACAAATCTGGTGTACAATCATTACGATCACAGTGACATTTATCTCAAAAAATTAATTTTAGCCCAAGGATTTTTCTAATCAAATATGAAACTTGTCACATGGCACAGTGACATGATGATTTTGATGAACAATTACCTGAGGAAAGGTTAACACTTTTGCCCATCATGCCTAATTAAATAGAACAAAATGGATGACTTTCAATGTGGGGGAAAAATCAGATTTAAGCAAACTTTAAAAAACTGCCATAAATATTTCTCTTTTTTGGCAGTATTATATATCACTTAAGTGGAAACCTACAGAGTTCTACTGCGTGATTGATTTTTGAAGGCTATAAAATTGAGTAACTTGTCATATCTTGGTACTCTCTATGCAAACACTTGTATATATATTTTTTCTGAAGAACTTTTTTTGAGATAGGGTCTTGCTCTGTTGCCCAGGCTCGGGTATAGTGGTGCAATTGTAGCTCACTGCAGCCTCGAAATCCTGGGCTCAAGCAATCCTCTCACCTCAGCCTCCTGAGTAGCTGGGACTATAGGCACGCACCACCAGGCCCGGCCAATTTTTAACATTTTTGTGTTAAGAGTCAAGGTCTCACTATGTTGCCCAATCTGGGTTTTTGTTTTTTTTTTTTTTTTTGAAGTTTTACAGCAGATAGAAAGATTAGAAAATCTGTTTCACCGAGAGAGATCTGACATCCAAGATTGAGGAAAATGGTGAATGCTGTTACTTTTTTTAGTAGAGAACATTCCCAATTAAAAAAAATTTTTAAAAAGTACGCCGGGCACGTTGGCTCAGGCCTGTAATCCCAGTGCTTTGGAAGGTCCGTCGAGACAGGCGGATCACGAGGTCAGGAGATGGAGACCATCCTGGTCAACATGGTGAAATCCCATCTCTACTAAAACACAAAAAAATTAGCGGGGCGTGCTGGCGCGCGCCTGTAGTCCCAGCTACTCGGGGGACTGAGGTAGGAGAATTACTTGACCCGGGAGGCAGAGGTTGCGGTGAGCTGAGATCACGCCACTGCACTCCAGCCTGGCGACAGAGCAAGTCTCTGTCTCAAAAAAAAAAAAAAAAAAAGTAAAAAACGTGTTTACCTTCGAACTATTTAAGATAGAAAACTAAGTAACATACAGAACACATAATTATATCTGCAATTAAATGTAAAATTCCCAACATTTTATTTTTCATTTCTCCACGTTAACTTTGTTTCAAAATACAAATATATTTTAACATTGCTGGCTCTGAACAACATTAAATTGATTTTAGAACGTGAAAGATAAGAGCCTTAATCAACCATCTCCGCTTAGGAGATCTGGGAGTTTGGAGAGAGATGTAAAGCACCATGGTTCGGCTGAAGGGGTTGTTCTCCATTGGCACCTGAAAGGCAGGATTGGGGTGTGGCTTCCTCGTGCCTGAGCCAGTGTGCTTTGTTCTGTTCCTGAGACGCAGACAATGCACCTAAGCTTGTCGCTCAGATCCTTTTTTCTAGATCTAAATGGAAACAACAAATGAGTATTTGATCAGCACAAATTCCCTCCAATTGCTAGATAAAACAGCTGACTGCACATGCCCTAGCAAGGCCTGGCCAATGGCTTTTTTTAAATTCTGTGAGAAACACGGTGTTTGTTTTCAGTAGAGATTACATCAAATCCTGGTGATTTCCCCTCCTGTAAGTTTCTCGACTTACTCGCTTTTTCCTTCTCCGCTACTATTTCTCTATTCCAAAGTACTATATTCTCTCACCTACCCGGGAATAACTTCTTAGAATGGATCCTCCTTTCTCCATACTGTATCTCCTCCCACCCAATTGCTTTTTCTATAGTTAGCATTGACCTTGTAGAATGCACACCTGCTCTCATCCATGTCCATCAATGCTGCTGCCCTCCCGTCCGCCACTGCCACCTCAATGGCCTCTCATCTCTCTGATGAAAGAAAAACTTCAGAGTGCTCTGAGGCAAGCAAGGAGGCGGCGGAGGCGGCAGAGAGCGGCAAGTAGTGGAAACGTTGCTTCTGAGGGGAGCCCAAGACGACCAGTTCTAACGAGTTCAAGCTGAACCAGCTACCCGAGGATGGCATCTCCTCGGTGAAGTTTAGCCCCAACACCTCCCAGTTCCTGCTTGTCTCCTCCTGGGACACGTCCGTGCGCCTCTACGGTGTGCCGGCCAACTCCGTGCGGCTCAAGTAGCAGCGCACCGGCGCCGTCCTGGACTGCGCCTTCTACCATCCAATGCATGCCTGGAGTGGAGGACTAGATCTTCAATTGAAAATGCATGATTTGAACATTGATCAAGAAAATCTCGTTGGGACCCATGATGCCCCTATCAGATGTGTTGCATACTGTACAGAAGTGAATGTGATGGTCACTGGAAATTGGGATCAGACAGTTTAGTTGTGGGATTCCAGAACTCCTTGTAATGCCGGGACCTTCTTTCAGCCTGAAAAGGTATATACCCTCTCAGTGTCTGGAGACCGGCTGATTGTGGGAACAACAGGCCGCAGTGTTGGTGTGAGACTTACGGAACATGAGTTACGTGCAGCAGCGCAGGGAGTCCAGCCTGAAATACCAGACTCGTTGCATACGAGCGTTTCCAAACAAGCAGGCTTATGTATTAAGCTCTATTGAAGGCCGAGTGGCCGTTGAGTATTTGGACCCAAGCCCTGAGGTACAGAAGAAGAAGTATGCCTTCAAATGTCACAGACTAAAAGAAAATAATATTCAGCAGATTTACCCAGTCAATGCCATTTCTTTTCACAATATCCACAATACATTTGCCACAAGTCGTTCTGATGGCTCTGGAAGTATTTGCGATCCATTTAACAAAAAGCGACTGTGCCAGTTCCATCGGTACCCCATGAGCATCGCATCACTTGCCTTCAGTAGTGATGGGACTATGCTTGCAATAACATCATCATATATGTATGAAATGGATGACACGGAACACCCTGAAGATGGTATCTTCATTTGCCAAGTGACAGATGCAGAAACAAAACCCAAGTCACCATGTACTTGACAAGATTTCATTTGCTTCAGTGCCATGTTGATGATAATAAAACAATTTGTGCTCCCCAATGGTGGATTTGTTAATATTAAAGAAACCAGGGAAAATATTAATTTTAATATTATAACAACCTGAAAATAATGGAAAAGAGGTTTTTGAATTTTTTAAAAAATAAACAGTTTCTTAAGTGCATGAGATGGTTTGATGGTTTGCTGCATTAAAGGTATTTGGGCAAACAAAATTGGAGGGCAGTGACTGCAGTTTTGAGAATCAGTTTTGACCTTGATGATTTTTTGTTTCCACTGTGGAAATGAATGTTTGTAGATAAATGTAATAAAAATCCCTTTGCATTCTTTCTGGATCTTAAATGGTAGAGGAAAACGCTCATGAGCCATTTGTTTCTTTTGCTGGTTATAGTTGCTAATTCTAAAGCTGCTTCAGACTGCTTCATGAGGAGGTTAATCTACAATTAAACAGTATTTCCTCTTGGCCGTCCATTATTTTCTGACGCAGATGGTTCATCATTTCCTGGGCTGTTAAACAAAGCGAGGTTAAGGTTAGATTCTTGGGAATCAGCTAGTTTTCCATCGTATTAGGGTGCAGAAGGAAAACTAATAAGAAAACCTCCTAATATCATTTTGTGACTGTAAATGATTATTTATTAGCAAACAATTGATCCCAGAAGGGCAAATTGTTTGAGTCAGTAATGAGCTGAGAAAAGACAGAACGTATTTGTGTATTTGGAAAGGTAATTGTAACGTAATTGCACTGCATTTAGACAGGCATCTATTTGGACCTCTTTCTATCTCTAAATGAATTTTTGGAAACATTAATGAGGTTTACATATTTCTCTGACATTTATATAGTTCTCATGTCCATTTCAGTTGACCAGCAGCTGGTGATTAAGGTTAAGAAGAAAAAAATTATAGTGAGAATGAGATTCATTTCAATGTAATACACTAAAACAGAACACGAACTTAGCTTGGCCTATTCTAGGTAGTTCCAAACAGTATTTTTGTTGTCAAACTTTAAAATTTACATTAATTTGCAAACGTATGTCTCTGAACAGGACCTCGACCTTTCCTGAGATTTACTTTATCTGTGATGTATTTTTTAAAAATTCTTTTGATACAGAGAAGGGTCTTTTTTTTTAAAACATTTTAGTGAAAACTTGGTGTAAGTCTGAACCCATCTTTTGAACTGTATTTTCTTCATTGCAGGTCCACCTAATCATCCTGTGAAAGTGGTTTCTCTATGGAAAATTATGTTTGCTTCCTACAAATACATGCTTATTCCTTAAGGAATGTGTTAGAGTTACTGTGGATTTCTCTGTTTTCTGTCTTACAAGAAACTTCTCTATGTACCTTAATACTTTGTTTAGGATGAGGAGTCTTTGTGTGCCTGTATAGTAGTCTGAAGAATTCCCCCTTCTGTGCCCTAGCAAGCCCAGTTGCTGTATTTGAACAGTTTGAGCTCTTTTTGTAATATAATCTAAACCCATTATTTCTGTGCTGTCTAATAAAGAAGATTCAGAACACTTGAAAAAAAAAAAAAAGGAAAAGTTCAGCCGAATTAAACTTAAAGGAGCTTAAATGAGCAACAAACAATTCACAAATTGGGCAGCCCCCAGAATCACAGCAGATTCACAGAGACTCCAGTGCAGCCACATGGTGGAAGAATATTTACAGACAAAAAAGGTAAATAACGTACAGAAATTAGAAAGTGAGGTACAGAGCAGCTGGATTGGTTACAGGCTGGCGTTTGCCTTATTTGAACACAGTTTGAACACTCAGCAGTGTATGACTGGTTGAAGTCCAGCACTGGGATTGGCCAAGACCCAGCTATTGTTACAGGTACATACTCCTAAGTTAGGTTTTCAATCTTGTCTACCTATTAAGCTAGCTTGCAGTTTGTCCACAAGGACTCAAATATAGAAGTACAGAGTCCCTCTCGGGTCACATTTAGTTCACTTTTAACAGCTCCCAAGGTAAAATAGAATACTGTTAACGTGTTTACATGTAGATCTGAGCCGTCCTACCTCTCTGGCCTTATCTTGAAGTAACTTCCTTCTCCTTTTCTTTGTTCTATGCTCAAAAGCCTCTTTCAGTCCCTTTTATTTGCGGTGCTGCCTCCCCCAACGGGGCATGTTCCCCTGCTGCTTTCTGCACCCAGAAGGCATCTTACCATCCTTTCCTCCTTCTTCCTAGGGCTTCACACCTCACACTTCCACAGCCTCAGAGCAGGCTTCTCTGACTTTGGAGGGTAGGCCACTCATCACAGCACTTGCCAGAGTGGTGGTTCTACACTTTTTGTGTGATAATTTAATTAATGAAGCACTTTGAGAGTGAATACAATCTCTCACAGATGGGCTGTCTCAAACTTAATGAAGCAGGCTTAGGTAAACATAAAGACCTGATTCTGAGCTAAAAATAAATAACCACTGCCCTTGTCAAAAAACAGCAAGTGCCGAATGTCACCTAAATAAATTTAAATTGTTTAAATTCTTTTAAATTCTATTTTTGGAAAGACATTTGTTGAATTTAAAAAGTCAGAGAAGCGATTTTATTAACTTTGATTTCTTACTTTTCTATATTGAACACAGTTGACTTACCTCAAAAATTATCTTGAGATTTTTAAGTTCTAATCAGTCTTTTTGCTGCATTTCTATATGGATCAACTTTATTTTCTTCATTTTTATATGTTTTAATTGTATGTTCTTCAGTTTCTGACCATAGTTATTTTGCCAATGTGATATGCAAAGATGTGTTGTAAGATGCTAATTTTACAGGAATGAAGAGTTGACGGACAACGGCAGCTGATAAAAGGGCTGGAGTTGAACCAGTGGTGTGCTGGTAAATGTTTAATAACTTGCTTTCAGAAAAAAATGTACATGTCTATGTATATGCACATTATAAATGTTAGTGATATAAAGGATGTATCAAACAAAACTTACAAATAATAAACTACAAAGCACTTTTTATTGTAAATTACATGTAGCCAATTGACCCTCATGGGATGCTTTCACTGATATTTGCCAAAACACATCCATACATAGTACATCTACATTTGCAATTTACGAATAAATATAGTTTTAAAATAAGTGCTGGTTTATATTTTCATCTATGTTAATAAGTAAGACCAAAGTAAAACAACGAATATATATGTCAAAACTTCACTTGTTTGTCAATAATGTGAGTAGCTTCTTTGCTAAACCAGATAACAGTCTTTAAATACTGGAAGATTATTTATCTGTGTGTGTGTGTGTACGCAGTATTCACAATGTAATGAGTAAAGGAAAAACATACTTTTAAGTTTAGTCTGTATTGCTAACGTTTTTCTCCATCATCACTTTTTAAAGTTTAGGCCACTGTCCAATAGAAATATTATGTGAGCCATGTATGTATAAATTTCTAGTATCTATTTTAAAAATAAACAGATTAAAATTAACTTTGATAATATATCTTATTTGAACAAATATATTCAAAATAGTATAATCTCAAGCTGTAGTAGATATACAAATTAGTAGAGATATTTTACTGCTTTTCTCCATATTGCCTTCAAAATCCAATGTATATTTTATACTTCTAACACATCTTAATTTGTGTTAGTCATATTTCAAGTGCTTGATAGCCACATGTGCCTTGGTGCTACCATCTAGGAAGGTACACGTACAGACAATCAACAAAACAATAAATCAAGCTGTGATCTGTGAAGTTTGCATTTGTGTGTGTGTGGGGGGGGGTATAAATACCCCCACCATGGTCAATTTCAAGTTATCAATGTTATGGAAAGAGATGTGTTGAGCACATTTTTATATAGCATTTCTACCAATTATATAGCATTTCTACCAAACAGCCACAATGGACGTAAAAAACCCTCAAGCACGTAGGGACGAGTAAAATAATTAGGAATTGATGAGTTTGAAGCAATTATTGTTTGTTTTTAATATAAAATTTAATTGTAGGTTTATATAGCTTAATTTTGAGTTAAGGGTGTGTTTATCAACTGGCTCAGAAAATTCCTGGAAATATTACAACTGGTTCTCAGGAGCCAGGATGAGATTGCTCCAGAACACCACTGAATTGAGTCATCAAAATGGATAAATGTCACAGAAGTGTTCTGGTGAAGGGAAAACCTGGCTAAGGAGATCACAAAGGATTGCAAATCTTATCTTCCTTCAAATCCAAATAGTGCATGCCAAATTGATCAGTTTGTGGGAATTCAGAAAGCTAAATGGCAGAAAAATATCACTGGCTGAAAATAAGTTTTCTACAACATTAGAAATGTTGAAGTAAAAATAACAGAGGAATTAAGATCATGGGCCTTGGAGTCAGACAGCTCAACGTTTGATTCCTAACTGTGTTATTTCACTACTTGAACAACTGAATAAGGATCTTAATCATTTTGAAATTATCCATATATCTATAAGTGAGGATACTGACTGACATCTACCTTCCTGGTTTCCTGTAATGAAAAATGGACACAAGGTTGCCATTGCCAAAGTGTACTCCACAAAAAGACTGGTTTTGTGAAATGTCAATACGTATCAATTTGGGGGAAATTCTGGTTAAGTAGGCTAGGAAATTGGAATTTTTCAGCGTACTTAAGTAGCTAAGAAATGAATATAATAAGGAACACCCTTGAAATGTATTTGTACATTGATCTCAGTTTTTGTAACAAGTATCTTCATGGCCTATTTATTGTATTCCAAGGAAAACACGGACAAATATTTACAAAGTACTCGGCACAGGTCTGGCATGTGATAATGTGCTCAAGAAAGGGGAACAACAATAATGTAATTTCTAATAATATGATAAAATATGACTTGTATGTAACCAAGGTATGGTATGCAGTCCAATGGGGAAAATAAAGGCTTCATGCACAAGCAGGTAGTCAATTCATGCACAAAGACATTTTTTACTTTTTATTTTTTTTACATGGGTTCTCACTCTGTTGCCCTGGCTGGAGTGTACTGGTGCAATCATGGCTCCTTGTATCTTTGACCTCCTAGACTCAAGGGATCCCCCTGCCTTGACTTCCCAGAATACGGGGATTACAGGTGTTGCAAGCCACCTCACCCTGTCCACAAGGAAATTAAAGTAAAATTACATGACTCCTTCAACCAATTTTTATAGTTCCGGACAGAATGAAATCAAAATTAATTAAAAGACTAGGTCAATTAGCCAGAAAAACACTAGAAGCAGAAGCCAAAGCTAAAAGAAATCCAGGATGAATCAAGGGAAGATTCCTTTTAAAATACATTACAAAGGAAAAGAGCTTTGATTTATAATGAAGAACAAATGAAAGATTCCTGTCTTCTTAGGATTTCCCAGCCAAATTATTAAGAAAGACCAATGAAAAAAAAATGAATAGTTACCTGAGACTAAAAAGTATGGATCAAGCTAGGAAAAGCCCCAGAGTCCTAGGAAGTGTCAGCAGCATGATAAACAGCATTAGTGGGCTGGGACCAACCTTAAGAGACAGAGACAGAAAGCAGAGCAAAAGCAGCGTGGAAAGAAGAAAACTTGTTTGAAGGAAAGCAGTTTGGTATAAACTGCTTTGCTCCCAGTGAATTAACAAACACACACATGAATGAATGGGATTACAATTACAAGGGGAGAGACCTTCTGCAAAAACTGATCAAAAGAAGGGGACAATTTGAAGAGGCGCTGGTTATGACCTTTGTGTGGGAGAAACACTTCAATGTTCTGGTACGCAGA